ATGAGAAAAAAGGGAATAGAACATGACATTTTATTATAGTTAAGTGATATAAAATATTATTCCCATCTAAATGACTTCTCATTTTCCTTTTTGTTCAGAAAAACCAGATACAGCTTAGAAAAACAGATAGGTCTTACATATTTTTTCTTGCTTATTGAACCTGTGTATGATCCAGTTTTGTTTTGTGACTTCTGGTATTGATTGTCACATGGTTTTGCATCATCTTCCTGTTGCTAGTATTGATCATATTTCATGTTGTAAAATGCCCTTTGCTTTTTTCAGTCATGCTAGCCTACACAATCAGCTCAATCTAACACTCTGTGAAATACCATAAATTTAGGTTTGATCTATAAATAATTTTCTCATCATCAAAATGTACCTGTCCTGTTGGGTGGGCCAGTAAAGTTCTTGCCATCAAGAGGCCTAAGTGAAGTGAGTGATCTCAGACTTGTATATTAGTCTGTTTCACTTGTGTGCTTGTCTTGTCTAACCTCATTGTTTTGGTGAACTTGATGTAAAACTTACCATGTAACACTAGTGAGTTCACAGTGTATGGGAGGCAGTGGGATCAGAAGGCTGCATTTTTCCTTTTGGAAACTTCTAACACAGATCCATTAATCTGTCTAGTTTATTTTTCCATGGGCATGAAATGAAAGGAATGAAGTATATTAAATCCTTTGCTAATCCTCACATGCTCAACCCCCACCTTAGCTCAGGCCCCTCTGTGTTTGATAGCATCTCATACCACATTTTTGAAAAAAGTTTTAAGTGGTGCATATACCATCATTATTTCATGCATAACACTCTTTTATTTTACATTATTTACTAACAATTGACTGAGCACCCATAAACCCATCATCTGACCTTGGAACTAGGGCACAGACAGTTACCTAGATAAACCAATATGTCTTTTAAGTACTTTTTTAAAAAAAGATTTTATTTGAGAGGGGAAGGGAGGGAGAAAGAGAGGGAAAGAAACATCAATGTGTGACACATGGATCAGTTGCCTTTCACTCTCCCCCAACTGGGGACCTCTAACCCCCAACAGGGCACCGGGTCCACAACCCAGGAATGTGCCCTGACTGGGAATCAATCTGGCGACCTTCTGGTTCAAAGGCCGGCGCTCAATCCACTGAGTCATACCAGCCAGAGCTCAAAGAACATTTTTAAGAGAATGAAAAGCCACAGACTGGGTGAAAATATTTGCACTAGCCACAGACTGGGTGAAAATATTTGCAAAGCACGTAACAGATAAAGGACTTGTATCCAGAATCAACTCAAAACTCTATCCAGTTCTGAGGCTAACTCAGTAAAAAGAGGGCAAAAGATTGAACAGATATTTCATCAAGGAAGACATAAGAATGGCATATAAACACATGAAAACCTGCTCAATATCAGTAGTCAATATCAGTAGTCATTAGGGAAATACAGATACGGCAAAGAAGTCTAATGAGTTACCACTACATATCTGTTGGGGCGACAGAAATGGAAGAAACTTACATTAGATAAGATATGGAAGAACTGGATTCAAACCCTGTTAAAATGTAAAATGGTAGACAACTTTGGAAAATAGACCAGCATTTTCTTAAAAAGTTTTCGTTTATTTTTATTTTTAGGGGAAATGTGTCTTCGAAATGATCAGTTGATGAAGGACAAAGACTATGGAAATGTTCCAGATTAAAGGAGGCCAAAAAGACATGTCAGTTAAATGCAACACCTGACCCTGGGCTGGATCTTGTACTGGAGGGGAAAATGCTACAAAGACATTACTCAGTCAACTGACAAAACTGGGACACAAATGGCAGCTGGATAAAAGTATCGAATCACTGTTAACTTTACTGAGGTTGACAAATGTGCTATGATTATACAAGAGGATATTCTTAGTGATATCCTGAAAGAGAGGGAGAGAAAACATGACAAAGCAAATGGGGTAAAATGTTAAAGTAGATGAATCTAAATAAAGAGTATTAGGTGTTCTTGACACCATTTTTATTTTTTTGCCACTTCTCTATGTGTTTGAAATTATTTTTTAAAAAAGCTAATGAAAGGTAAATTTCTGGCCCTAGCTGGTGTGGCTCTGTTGCTTGGGCATCGTCCCTCAAAGTGAAAGGTCGTTGATTCTATTCTGGGTCAGGGCACATGCCTGGGCTGCGGTTTTGGTCCCTGGTTGGGGTGCGAGAGGCAACCGATCATGCTTCTCTCACGCATTGGTGTTTCTATCCCTACCTCTCTCCCTCCCTTCCCTCTCTCTAAAAATAAAATAAAATAAAATCTTAGAGGTAAATTTCTGGGCATAGTACAAAGCTTGTGAAAATTTGAGGTTTAAATGAAGTCAGCTGCACTCACAACAATAAGGTTAATTTTTAAACTACTGAATTTTGCATATCCAGAAGGCTTAGCATAACAGGGATTAAAATAAAAATACCTTAAAGGTTATTTGGTTCTAGCAATTAAAATGAGGTAAAATTTACATAACATGCAATTAACTATTTTAAGGGTACATACAATCTGGGGGCATTTAGTATATTCACAATATTGTTCAACAACTATCTAGCAATATTAACAGTGCTGCCTTTAAGTATAATTTAACATTTGCATTTAAAAATTTTGCATAATTTTTAACAAGTTAAAAAGCAGAGCAAAATAGCTCAAATTACTTTTTATTTTTCTTTCTGATTAGCTCCTCACACATACACACATACAGTACACACGTGTGTTCACACAAAAGGAATGCTTGAATATTCAGCTATGCTAGAAGGCGATTTTCCAAGAGATCTTCACATTTCATTCAGCGTTAGCTACCCTGGATCCTGAAACAGGCTGCCAACATGTGGGACAATTCCAGGGCTCTGACAGCTAATGAGCAATATGATGGCTATAAATTTTGCACATTTGAGGTAGCTGCCTGAGCTTATTTTGTTCTATTCACCAAAACAAACACTGCAGATTTTACTTAATTCACTCAGAAAGATGGTAAGTCTGCTCTTTGACTCAGCACTGTATGTGCTCCTCCTCCTCCTCCTTTTTCATTTGGTAATACAAGTGAGCAAAACAAAGAATAGGTAAATTCAGTTCCCACTAAATTGTATCTTCTTGTTGTCCATCCTCTTTTCACAGTTTTGGGAATAATTGAGGCCATCTTGTTTCACCTAGTAGTTCAATGCTGCCTTTGGGTGTGCCTGTGTTGAGAAGAATCCACTTTGTGTTGGCTGCCCTCAGTAACTGACTGTAAGTCTCTCAGTTCTCTTTCTTTTTTTACATCCCCACCAGATGACATTTTTTCATTGCTTTTAGAGAGAGGGAGAGAAACATAAATTGGTTGCCTCCAGTATCCACCCAGATCGGGGATCATGTGCCGAGACCCAGGATGGAATCCACAACCTAGGTATGTGCCCTGACCAGGACTTGAATCCTCAACCCTTTGGTGACAGGACGATGCTCCAACCGACTGAGCCACATAGGCCAGGGGAAGTCACTCAGTCCTGAGCACATCTCTGGTTACTAGATCTAGACTGAGTCCTACTGAGATATCTTGCCTTTCATATTTTCTTTTCACATGTTAGCAGAAAAATTCAGCCTTCCATTGTGAGTGTTCTTTTTGAGAGCTGCCCAAATAAAGCAATAGAGAGAGCTGTGTTATTGACATTGGGTTGCTCCTGAAGACCAGATCCTCTCCCATCACCGCACAGTCAAGGACATTTTTGTGGTGGTTTTTGGGGGGTTTTTTTTGGGGGGGAGGTCAAATTCTTGCCTCACCAGGAATTGGTGATACTCCTCCCAGAGGTATATAATAGTGGGGGAGGGTGTGGTAGAGGTGGGGAACAGCTGAAACTCTCCTCCTTAGCCTGACAGTCAGTGACACGGGAGGAGCTGCCATCACTTTCCACGAGATGGTTTCTCTCGGTAAATTCTAAATGTCTAGTGAGGACGGGAGTCAGTGGCCAGGCTGCAGCTGTGGATGGTCCAGCTGGCATGGAGGACTACAGAGGAGATGCAGCTTCCAAGCCTGCCTTTAGTTTTGGTCCGTTCAGCATCACCTACCAGCCGAGATGCATTTCCATGGAACGAATTCACTTTACCGCTATTGAGAAGTTCTGCGTCACATGTTTTTTTGAAACAAATTTGTTCAACTACAGCTCCGTGATTTATTTTAATTAGGTTTTAGTTCTTTGACTCCAACCACGGCAGAAGAGGCAGATAGACATCTTTTATTTACTATATATAAGTGAATTGGAATTCTTTTCCTGTGATACTCCATCTTCACCTAAATGTAGGTTAACTAAAATGTAGATTACAGGCTGATCGTGCACACTGCTTTGTAATCAATACTTATTTTTCACTTATGCAGTTATGAAAATTGTTTAAATTTATTAGTTTAGTTTTGACGTGTAAAAATACATTTTACATATAACTATTTACAAAACATACTTGTTTTTACAGGTACCTGCCACTACAATGATGGTAGCTCTCTATTTCTAGAAAGGTTTACTTCATTTTTATTTTTCATCCTCACGTGAGGACTTTTTAAATTGCTTTTAGAGAAAGGACGGGAGAGAAACATCAGTGTGAGAGAGAAGCGTCAGCTGGTTGCCTCCTGTTCACACCCGAACTGGGGAACAAACCCACAATCCTGGCATGTGCCCTGACCAGAAATCGAACCAACTTTTCGGATACAGGATGATACTCCAATTAACTGAGCCACACTGGCCAGAGCTAGAAAGGTTTATTTTAAAATAAATAAAAGTGAGTCAGTTTAAATAAAGTATAGATTATGTTATAACACAAGTGATTTGCAGATACACACAAACCACAGACACTGCTGGCCGAACCACCGGAGTTTGGGAACTGGTCTCTCGGGATTAGTAGGAGCGGGTACCAGAAGGCTACGGAAGCCCGGAAGGCCAAAGAGGAAGCGTTAGCTAGAACCCAGGGGAAAAGACGGCCCGCTTCCTTGTTAGTGTGGCGCAGTGCGCAGGCGCAGTGGGCTGGGCCTCTCTGCGCAGGCGCGGGCGCGGGCGCTAGTGCTGGCGTGGTCCCCATGGAGCCGCTGTAGCTGAGCCCAAGCGGCTGGGAGAATCCGGAATGAGCTCTTCGGAGGCCGACCGCTGGGCGTGGCTGCTGGTACTCAGCTTTGTGTTTGGGTGCAATGTCCTCAGGATACTCCTCCCGTCCTTCTCCTCCTTCGTAAGTGGTTGCCTGTCAGGGGGTCTCAGACTGGCCGCCTGAGGGCCACATTCGGTCCGCAGAAGCGTCTTGGTTGGGACCTTCTCTGTTTTAAGAAATACATGCATGCGCGCGCGCGCGCGCGCACACACACACACACACACACACACACACACATAAACATAAATAAAAGATAAGAAAGAAATACCTGGCAACACTTGGCCATGTTTTCACGTGGCTGGGAAGTCTCCGTGCCCCGCTGCCATCCGCACTCACTTCCGTTATTTCCTGGTCTCTGGAGGCACACCGCAGCCGAGAGGGGGACAGTGCTTGCAGCAGCACGGTGTCCAGGGTTTGCCGCAGGCCTCGGCCTTCCTCGCGGGTAGTGCCAGCTGTGCCAGGCCCGGGGGAGACAGATCTAAGGGCGCAGGAGCCTTCATTCTCCGCGATGGGGCCGCGTAGTTGACATTGGCGATCGAGAATCTCAGTATCGAATGATGTTTTATTCAACCTGGAGTGATGGGCGCTGGGGAACATTGTTTTAACGGAGCGTTTTGCCAAGGCGATAGTACATTTCATCGTGCCCAGTTGTCACATTGCTGTGAGAGATGGATGTCACTCCATCTTCCTTTACCTCTCAGAGGAGTCTGACTCAGAAAGTCATGCTGCCATGACTGGGTTGGAACTTTGATCCTTGGTTTGTGACTTTTTTTTTTTTAGTTCTGCTCTTCTGCCTACTGGAGCTTGAATAGGGGCTCCGAGGCAAATTTGATTGGGAAGGTAGGTGTGCGGGGCGGGGAGAAACGGAAGGAGCCGTTCCCCGGGGAAGGGCGCCCTCTGTATGCGCACGGTGGAAGTGAGGGGCTGTCTCACCTGGACCAAGACCTCAAAGATTGGGTGCCCGGATGGCAGCACCATACTGGGAAAGTTCTCCCTGCTTATTGCTGGTGGCGCGGGGAAGCGGGGCTGGTATTTAAGACGAGGCAGGATTTCTACTTCTTTATGTTTATTCTACCAGTATTCATTGAGCGCTTTGTGTGTGTGTGTGTGTGTGTGTGTGTGTGTAAAGCTCTATTCTAGGGCTTTACTACACCCGTTGTTCCGAGGCACAGAGACTTCTTTCTTAGCCCTACATTCCCCGCTTCAGAATCTTACCTGATGCTGCCTAGGCTTTAAGATGATGTCCTGAGTCCTCACTGTTAGGGCGGTTGGTGACATGGGCTGTGAACGAATTCACAAGAGAAGTTCAGAGAGTCAAGTTTTTATTCACTCTCCGAGAAAGGAGAGGCGCTAGGTGTGGAGAGACACGCTGGCGCTGAGGGCCGGGGGCTTTGTGCTCTCACTGGTTTATAATCGGATTAAAAGGGCAGAGGTTGCTGTTATGTGGCCCCTGGGCTGTTGGGGGCGCTGTAACTGGAGGCTGCAGTTTGTTCCAGTGTTACCTTCTGCCTGTGGCTCTAGGGTAGTCACATGCTGTTCTTGCTTTCCAGTAATTTCCAGTCCTGGGGACAGAAGCTCAGAAGAGTAAAATGGGAGCCACGTTTAACAAGGTCATAGGCTTGCTAGGCAAATGGCGCCACAATAGCAAATAGGGTTGGCTTTGTCCTTTCTCTTAGCTTTGCACAAAAGGCCCTTGAAGAGCTTGCTCCTGCCCATCTACTTTTTAAAAAACTGTGGTAAGAAGCACACACACACACACACACACACACTATACCATTCTAACCCTTTTTTAGCGCACAGTTTAGTGGTGTTAAGCACATTCACATTGTTGTGCAGCTGTCACCACCATCCATTCAGCAGTTTTTTCATCTTCCTAAACTGAAACTCTGTCCCTATTAAATATTAACTCCCTTCCCCCCTCCTCCTGGCAGCCACCATTCTACTTTCTGTCTCTGTGAACTTGACCACTCTAAGTATCTCATATTAGTGGAATCATACAGGATTTGTCCTTTTGTCACTGGCTTACCTCGCTTAGCATAATGTCTTTAGGGTTCATCCTAGTTGTAGCATGTGTTAGGACTGCATTCCTTTTTTAGGGCCGAATATTAGGTCCATTGTATGTATGTACTACATTTTGTTTATCTGTTCATCTTTCGATGGACATTTGGGGTTGTTTCCACATTTTGGCTCTTGTGAGTAAGGCTGCTAGACTCTAGAAGGAGTGTCCAGTCTTTTGGTGTCTCAGGGCCACACTGGAAGAAGAGTTGTCTTGGGATACGTTAAATACATTGAGATACATAATCACAAAAAAACTCAATGTTTTAAGTAAATTTACAATTTTGTGTTGGGCAGCATTTACAGCCATCCTGGGCTGCACGTGGCCCGTGGGCCGCAGGTGGGACACCCCTGTTAGGGCATTGGTATACACATAATCTGTGTATCTGTTTTCAGTTTTTTGTTTTCTGTTTTTTTTGTAAATACCTGGAAGTGGAATTGCTGGGTCATATGGTAATTTCACATTTAATTTTTTGAGGAGCTGCTACTATTTTTCACAGCAGCTGTATCATTTACATTCTCACCAGTCTTGCACAGGAGGTGCAATTTCTCCACATCCTCTAACACTTGTCATTGTAGGTCGTTGCTTTGATAATAGCCATTCTAACAGGTGCAAAGTGGCGTATCATTGTGGTTTTGATTTGCATTTTTTCTAATGATTAGTGATGTTGAACATCATAGCATGTTCCTCTTAGCCATTTACCTCTCTTCTTCAGAGAAATGTCTATTCAGATTCTTTGCCCCTTATTAAATGGGGCACCAGGAACTGTCCCTCCGGGGGAAGGGCACCCTCTGTAGGCCCCCAGCAGCGGCGAGGGGCTGGTTTCCTTCTGCCTGCTTCTTTTATATACTGGATACTTGCTCCTTATTTGATACATGATTTGCAGATGTTGTCCTCCATCTCACTGGTTTCCTGTCCATCTTTCTTGTGGTACCATCTCTATTTTCCTATGTACCCCATCCCATTTCCTCTCATGTTGGAGCCACATTCAACTAATCTCAGTCGCCCAGAGGTTGTGTCTTATATTCCTCTATGAAAATTGTTTGTAATTTCTCATTAGCCGAAGGCGAAGTTGGAGTGTGTCTTTGGAGTCTGCCAGAAGCTATAAATAAGGTCTGTCATCGTTCCGGTCTCCTTCACCAAGCCCGCACCAAATACAGTCACAAGAGGTCATTGCTACAGTCTAGACATGGGCGAGCTTGTGCCCTATAAGGGCAGCTGTTTATGATGAAGGAGGATTGGGTTTGACCTTGGACCTGTGTCACAGCCTGCGTTTCTTCTTATGGGCTGTAGAAGCTTTCTAACCTCAAACCAGTTAGCTTTCTTAAACCTCTTCCCCCTTGGTTGTAGCACTCTTTGTCGGGATTGTCAGCGGGGTTCAAACGATCTGAAGCAGAGTACAGCCCCCATTGTTGGTGTTCAAAACAGGGAAGAGCAATAAAGCAGTCTGTGCTGCCTAGTCACGGGGTTTGTCCTGCGGGTTGGTGACAAGCTGTAAGGAACTCCCTGATTCCGCCAGTAAAATGCTGCTCCTTTACTACCGAGAGGCTGAGCCACCAGAGGCTGAGCCACCGCAGGCCCTGGACTGGGGCCCAAGAAGGAAAGCCTCCCTATGAGAAAACAGTTGATCAGGAATGGGCCACGCCCCTGTACTTCAGACTGTGACCTTCTTCCAGTGTTTGTGACGTTTTCTGTCCACCCAGAAGCAAGGGAGGGCTGCACTACCTACCAGCTGGGCAGCTGGCTGGTCCCCAGGCCGGAGGCCCTTGAGGATACTAGAGTCAGGAATCCTCTGCCCAGCCAAGTCTTCCAAGATCGCGAGAGAGGATTTCAGCCAAGTACCAGGGTGGGGTGCGTGCTTGGATAAGAACACCGCAGTCCTTGGTGTTGACTTGGAATTTTCCTGAGGTTCTTTCATTTTTCGCTTCAAGCTAGTCTTGGGACACAGGGGTGACACAGCCTTGATCATGTAGTAGGAGATCTAGGACATTCTTTAGTCAAAGGCGGCCAGGGGGTGGGGGGTGGTCCAGGACTCTCCCTGCGGGCACCCGCTCTGCGCAGGCGCCCCAGGACTGGCGTGGCAGAGGGCTGGGAGAGGGGCTCCTGAGCGGTGTGTACTGCGCAGGCGCCCCGGGAATGCCACCGTGGAGGGCGGACTGAGAGTGCCAGCAAGCCGCACGCAATGCGCAGGCGCGCCAGGCCGGACGGTGCGAAAATGGGCTCCCGTTCCCCTCAATGTGTTCATTTTATTTGATCAGTCCTTTATGACTACTCTCCCGTCGCCACCGCCTCTCCGCGGTGGATGCCCTCCTGCCCCACTTGAACTCTTAATACCGTGTTCGGCTGGGTACCCTCTTCTTACCGCGCATGCGCCCCTCAGCGGCTGGCCCTGATTCCCTTATCAGGCTGCCCTTTCTAGGAGACCCCCACGTCACTACGCGCCGCTCTGTCCACCCTCCTGCCCCCTCCCTGCCCGGGTGTCCCTGTGCGGGAAGGCCCTCCGCACTGCGCTTGGACTCTGCGTCCTCATCACTGGCACTCTGCACCCCCCTCCTGCTTTGCCTACCTACTATAGGACCGAATTCTTTAGGGAGGGGAGAAGATGCATGGTCCGTATGCCCGAATGGCAGCTCTGGGGATGGAAATAGTTTTTATTTTGTCATTAAAATTTTACAGTTGCAGTGAAAGATACATACCCTTGTACCATGGCAACCCATTGGCATGTCTTTGAATAGCGATTCAAATGGGAGGGAGTTTTTGTGGTTGTAGGGAGCAGAACCAGGACAAGGCAGCGGAGGCGGGCTGTCTAGGCAAAGGGCAGCTGGCCCACGTGAGAGAGGCAGCCGGTAAGGTGGTGCCACGGGGGAGCGAGAAGGTTCCCCGAAGCGGGGCGGCTCTGATCGCAGCTGTCCACCCCACCAGATGTCCAGGGCGCTGCAGAAGGACGCAGAGCAGGAGTCTCAGATGAGAGCCGAGATCCAGGACATGAAGCAGGAGCTCTCCACTGTCAACATGATGGACGAGTTCGCCAGATACGCCAGGCTGGAAAGAAAGATCAACAAGATGACAGATAAGCTCAAAACCCACGGTACTGTTCCCAGTTGTAGTTTGGAAAGCTTCATAAGAGCTGATTCACAGAGAAATCTGTATATAAAGATTCATAGAATATATTCTTGGATGTTCTAAATGGTGATATAAACTTTTAAGTTGTCCAGAAGAACCTTAATAATAATTATTACTTTTTCTTTACTTGCTGGTGAACCTTTGCTTTCCAAACACAGGAACCATCCAGGATACTCTTAGAGTTTCTTTAGAGCCAACTTGTTAGGTTGTCATTTTCAAATTCAACACTTTTCTGAGAGAAGCCTAGAAAAAAACCTCAGAGTAGACTCTCAGGGCTTTCTTGTTCCACACTCTATCTAGAGGGTGCCCAGCAGTGTCCTTACCCGAGCATAGACTCAGGCAAGGGCTCAGGTCTTACTCATTTTTATTATGTTTGCCACTGCCCCTGGTGGCCTGCTGTGATGAAGACGGCCTTCAGAGGGCAGCCCGTGTGCTGAGCGTGTGCACAGTGAGGGAACTGTCTCATGGCTAGTAAAACACTCACAGGGGCCTGCCCAGGCCCGAGGCAAACTAGACTCCGCTCATGGGTTAGTGTACAGTGTACAGTGGGAAATCATGGAAGGACATTTAGTCCTGTGGGTAAATGCGTTGTAAAAAGAATCTGACTTTGCCCCGCCTGGCGTGGCTCTGTGGATTGAGTGCCAGCCTGCGAACCACAGGGTCATCAGATCGATTCTCAGTCAGGGCATGTGCCAGGGTTGTGGGCCAGGTCCCCAGTAGGGGGTGTGTGAGAGGCAACCACACATGGATGTTTTGCTCCCTCTCTTTCTCCCTCCCTTCTCCTGTGTCTAAAAATAAAATAAATAAAATCTTTAAGGAAGAAAAAAATTTTTTAAGACAACCTGAAAGCTATTCAACTAAGTCAGAGATTATTTTTTAAAGATTTATTTTTTTATATTTAGAGAGAAGGGAAGGGAGGGAGAAAGACAGGGAGAGAAATATCAATGTGTGGTTGCCTCTCGTGTGCCTTCTACTGGGGACCTGGCCCGCAACCCAGGCATGTGCTGTAACTGGGAATCAAACCAGCGACCCGTTGGTTCCCAGGCCAGTGCTCAATCCACTGAGCCACACCAGCCAGGACAAGACATTGTATTTTATATCTACATGTGTATTTAGAAAATATTTTGTGAGAGGAAATGACATTTCTGTGTAGTTGACTATTTTCTTCCCTTCTTATGACTGATACAATCATTTCATCCTGTTTTTCCTTTCAGTGAAATCACGGACAGCTCAGTTGGCCAAGATAAAATGGGTTATGAGTGTTGCTTTCTACGTACTGCAAGTAAGTGTCCTGTTGTGTCGCTAGGGTCTTTCAAGCTGGTGATGGACTTTGCTCCAGATCCATTTGGCCCCTGCAGTCCAGGTCTGGGAATTCAGGTTTTTCACCTTTAGCTGCTGTGCTGTCTGGCCAGCATGTAACTCTGAACACTGTGACTGTATAAGTTAGACTCAAAGAAAGCCTTTCTCTTGACTAGAACTGTTAAAGATGGGGTATAGTAAGTGTTGAATACGTTGATCCCAAGGCACTGTCGCTTTGATGGGAGATGGGCTTCTCAGGGACTAGACTTAAGTCAGAGGCCCTCTTTTAGGTCTCCTCCTTTGAGTGGCATATTCAGATCACCAGGGGGGTAGGAGACAACTCGGGGGAGGCTGTTAGGGAAGGGAGGGAGGGGAAAGCAGTGCTTCTCTACCCATTTTAACTCTCACGGAGGGCCCTTCTGCACACAGGCTCCAGCACTCAAGTGTGGGCGGGATTTTAGAGGTGTAAGATCACTTTCTTACTAAAAAGGTGTATTTAGCACAGTCTGGCTACTTAAAGGAGATATTCAATGAGAAAAGAACACCTGTGTTATGGGAGATCTTGGTTAATTTATCAGCTGATTTAATAGTCTATACAGTTGACCCTCAAACAGCATGGGTTTGAACTGTGTGTCCACTTATATGTGAATTGAAAAAATATATATTGGAAAAATTTTTGGAGATTTCAGACACTGTGACCAAAAAAGCCCTGACTGGTGTGGCTCAGCTGGGCATTGTCCTGCAAGCCAAAAGTTTGTTGGTTCAGTTCCCAGTCGGGGCACATGCCCAGTTGGGGTGTGTAGGGGAGGCAACCAATTGATGCTGCTCTCTCACGTTGATGTTTCTTTCCTTCTCTTACTCCCTGCCTGCCTCTCTCTCTCAAAATTAATAAAATCTTAAAAAAAAAAAACCCTCACAGATGAACCGTATAGCCTAGAAATATCAAAGATGTTAAGAAAAAGATAGGTCATGAATGCATAAAATATATGTACATATTTTTTCTTCCTTATGATTTTTTTACATAGCATTTCTTTTCTCTAGCTCACTTTTTTGTAAGAACACAGTTTATGATACATATAACATATAAAATATGTGTTAATCAACTATTTATGTTATTGGTAAGGCTTCCCATCAATAGTAGGCTATTAGGGTTAACATTTTGGGGGAGTCAGAAGTTACACTGGGATTTTTGACTGTGTGGGTTGGTACCCCTAACCCCTGTGTTGTTCAAGGGTCAACTGTATATGTTATCGGCAGCTGTTGGCTGCAAGGCCTGGGTTGACAGGGCTTGAAGTCACTGATGTAGAGAGTTTCCTTAGTTTGTTTTCATGTTTCCTCATCTTCCTGGGATGATTGGTTGCATGCGTGGCGGGTCCTGCCCACTCACCAGCAGTGTCTTTGCAGGCCGCCCTGATGGTCTCCCTCATTTGGAAGTATTATTCTGTTCCTGTGGCCGTGGTGCCCAGTAAGTGGATAACTCCGCTAGACCGCCTGGTAGCATTTCCCACTAGAGTAGCAGGTAAGAGTTTCCTGGAAAACGCAGTGGGAGCGTATGGAGAGGCCTAGGAGGAGTGTGGGGGGATTAAGTATGACCGACATCGTCCTCATTGTCCATTTCACCAGGGAGCAGTGTTTGTGTCTGAACCTTGCAAGGCTTGCAGCGAGGAAACAGCGATCTAAGAGAGGTCCTTTGTCTAGTGTCACCAGAATGTTAATTAGCAGAGCCAGAATTCAGCCCAGGTCTGCTTCAGGATTCTAAGCCCGATACTTGCAGGTAGCCCATGTCGTCAAACACCATGTCTAGTTCCCAAATTCTGTCATCTCTCTTTTTTTTTTTTTAAGATTTTATTTATTTTTAGAGAGGGAAAGAAACATCAGTGTGTGGTTGTGGTTGCATTTTGCACCCCTCCTGCTGGGGACCTGGCCTGCAGTCCAGGCCTGTGCCCTGCATTGGGAATCGAACCAGCAACCCTTCGTTACACAGGCAGGCACTCAGTCCACTGAGCCACACCAGCCAGGGCTAATCCCTTGTTAATTCCTCTGTGTAGCGAGAGCACTTAGGGCTCTCAGCTGTTATTTTTGAAAGATAATTTCTTTTGGATGTTAAAAGTAGTACATGTCATTGTAGAATGACTAAAAATACAAGACCAATAAAAAAGAACTCATAAGCTATGAATAGCCACTCTTAATATTGTGGTATATGTTTTCCAGTCTTTTTTTTCTATTTATTTTTATACAGGAGTGGGCAAAAGTAGGTTTACACAGGTGAGTATGTGAAGCACAGTGTTTATTCTTGTATTATTATTTATTGTATTATATATTTTTCCAGATGAACAACTGTAAACCTACTTTTGCCCACCCCTGTGTAGTTAAGGTGGTCTAATTTTTGTCCCTTTTTACTTTATATTGTAAACCTTCTCCTGTATCAATAAACTTCTCTTTATTAAGAAATTTTGAATAGTTCTTCATTTGGATGTGTCGTAATTGACTCATTTCCCTGGTAAAGGATATTTATTTAGGTCCTAACTGTTTCTACCAAGAATAATGCGGCAGCACGCGACCCTGTCAGCCAGCCTTTGGCTGTGATTTGCGATAATGCTGGGGGTGAACTGTGGCCTTCAAAGGGACGGCGGTTTCAAAGGCTTCCAGTTTAGCCGTGCTCGCCTTCCTCCTCCCGCTCCCTTTACTGACGCCTCAGCCTGGAGCCTGTCTTCCTGTCTCTCATTTATCGGTGTGCCAGGCATGGTGGGGGTAAACAATGCTTCATTTATAAAGCTTTTCTGAGAAGGGCGAACCAAACAGTCTCACAGAGGGGTCTTGCAGTCTCTTAGTATCTTCAATAATAAAGCATATTTCTCTGGCAGGGAGGAGGGATTCAGACCAGTGCTCATTGTTCTGTATCATTCCCGCTTAGGAAAGAAGGCAGTCCTGTGAACTCTTAGAAAGTCTGGTGAATTTGAGCCCATGAAATACAAACTTTGTTTTAGCCCATCACGGCTCCAAGATAATGGAACTATTCTTATTCCCTCTAAGTTAAAGGTAGCAGGAGCAGGGAGTGTGGGCCGAACTCTTGGCATGCTTCCTGACGTTGGATTTCTTCATTTTTAGGTGGCGTTGGAATTACCTGTTGGATTTTAGTCTGTAACAAAGTTGTGGCTATTGTGCTTCATCCTTTCAGCTGAGAAAGAAGATGAGTGCAGCTCTGATACTTTTACAAATGGATTTTCGGTTAAAAATCTGACTTAACTGTTTTATTTTATTTAATTTTAAAGAAAAGTGCACAGGTTATTTTGTTGAATGTGCTTGTTCTTGGATTTTATGTGAGATTCTTGTAAGAATTACGATTTGTACGCTGGTCATTGAGCCAGCAGCATAGTAGCAGATTTGTGATAAGAAATATGTGGCATTACGGGCAGCTACCTGTTGTTACTCATGATTTGCACTCTTAGCATGTTTTAAAAAGGTCACATTGCCAATTGGAAAGTCAAAATTTTCTAATAACTTAAGTACTTTAAACACTTCATGTTATTTTTTAACTCAGGTTAGAAAGCAACTTAGTTTAGTATCACTGCTGGGATCCGAAAGCTTGTTTTTAATATGTCCTGCAGCTGCTAAAGAGCAACACTAACTGACGGTGCCTGCGCTTCTCCCGTTCAGCACGTCCCTGCTGCGCAGGCCTGGGTAGAGGATTAGCCTCTTGTTTGACGCAGTTAATTTTTCATTTCCATGTTTTGTAATTGTATTCATGAAACCATAATGCATTGTTTTGTGCTTGATTTCTGTGTTTTGTATTTAAAGCATTTCAAATGAAGTGTATTTTATAAGCATTTAATATTTATGCTCCATACGATGGAACAAAGTTAAAAAACTAAGTGGGAAGCCTGATGAATTAATTTATGGATATATGTTTGGCCCATAAAGTATAATTCTGCTAAATACTTTTTAAAAACACTTTTTTTCTAATTAAACTCTTTGCACGTGCTTGTACGACTTCCTTTTTCGCGGCCACTTATTTGCTGTGACCAAGCTGTAGCCGACAAGTGGCAGAGGGCTGTAGCTGTTACAGTGGTCCACAGCACGGGTAGAGCTAAATTCCATCCCTAGGTTTGATTTTTTAAATTCTTGTTTATTCTGTTACGGTCGTCCCGGTTTCCCCCGCTTTGTCCTCCTCTGCCCAGCCCAGCCTCCGCTCCCCCAGTCAGTGCCCACGCGGTTCCCTCGTTCTGAAAAGATCATATTTGTATCCTTGTGCCCCCTACTGATCCAATAAGGAGCTCGTTAGGATTTCTGCGGGTTGTACCAGGAAAGGACAACGTGCTGTGTTGCTTCGTTTATCGTCACCAGAGCGCGTTTCAGGTGGCCCTGATCATTCAGACGTACCCGGCAGCGAGTTGACGTGCCTTTAAGGAAGGATGCAGCGCAGGGAACGCGGCCATGTTTCTAGGAGACCGCGTTGTGAGGACTCAGTCCCACACAGGGTACATCCTGGCCACACGGGATGAGAAGCCAACCTGAGGGGCAGATGGCAGCAGCACCAGGAAGTCGCAGGGCCCCGGAGAGGCCACGGTGCGGTGCCGTCTGCAGCGAGCTGCGGGGCGGGCCGTGCAGCCGACGGCTGGGCCGCCAGGTGCGCGCGCCCAGGGACGCGCTTAGAACACTAATCCGAGCACGTCTCGCGGACAGGGCCCTGGTTCACCTCCTAAGGATACATTTTGTCAGTTCAGACTGCAATTTTGATAGCTCTCACTGAGGCTAGAGGAAGAGACTTACAGTTGTTCACAGCTGTTAACGCTTTCTACATATATTAGGAGTTAATGAAGATCACAGTAAATAGGGGAAATTTAAATGTCTCATTTCACATCATTGTGGTTTTTCAAAAACTATTTGTTTTTCAATGAATAAATAACTATGGTACCGATTTCAAAAGATACAGAAAGGGATGCAGTGAAAAGTGTATCTTCTGACCCTTTACTGTTACGTTGTCCAATTTTCCAGTTTTCCACTGTTACCAGTTTCTTATAGATTCTTCCAATGATATTCCGTACATTTATGAATATTGATATGTGTGCTTTTAAAATAAAATTCTTTTTTAATTATAAAAGAAGTACCTGAAAATATTACTGTTTGCTGCCTTTTTCTTTCTTTTTACTCCTACTTGGAACGTATAGAAAGGGAGCAAGGAAGCAAGGTCTCCCATGATTCCACAGAACTGGGATGACTGGTATTAATATTTGTGTATTTATGTTTATTTATGGAGAGCTACAAGCTTTGTTTCTATTAAAAAATACAGGGCATAGCTTATAGCTTTCCATGAACAGAGACATCTATTTGATTTAAAATATCCAAAGCTCTCTTCATGCCAATTGTGTTTGCTTTCTATTGAATAGTTACAGTAAATCAAGCAGGGAGGTTTTTTTACATACAAATAGATAATCTTTTTTGGTTTGGGGTTAATACAACGCTTCAGTTGCCAGCACAACTGGGGGAAATGCTGGTCAGCTAGTTTCCTCTCCCCCGACCTGGCCATGCTCTCTGGGCTCCCGTGGTTTTTCTTACACATTCGCAGCGCGACACGAGGACAGTGTGTGCGCATGCTGACCTTCCCCTCCAATCTCCTTACATTGTAGCGGACCTTTGAGATTGTTTACAAAGCCTTCTCTTGACCACCTTAGATGATTGCAGTGTCTCCTTTTCTTAGTCTGAACATTGTAATATCTATGCGACTGATTTGTCAGCTGATTTGTATTTGCTGTTGTGTGGTTTTGTTCCTGCTGTTTTAGATACGTTTTATATGATAAAGCATTTTCTTTCCCACAATGCTGAAAGTGCCTTTAGGATCAGAGATGTTTCTTAGGCTTTTTTTTTTTTTTTACACCCCTCCTAGCATGTCCTCATTCAATACCCTGCAATTTTTTTTTTTTTTTTTTTTTGGAGTGGATCAGTTTACTAAGTGAAATGCTTTGAAACATAACATGCAAAAAATTGTCTAATATGTTACCTTGGGTTGATACATAGACTGATTTAAGCAGTGGTTTCCACAAATTCCACTCCATGATCACATCAAGTAATTAGTTTGTGTGCTTGTGTGTGTGTGATTAATACCTGCATCTCGAAATGATGAACCATTTTTAGCCGGGCTTCTTGGGATAGATTTGCTCACATTGAGATATATGGGGGGAAATGTTATATTTGCTCAATGGATGAACCGTTACCCTTCGCTATAAATGAAGGTGATAAACAGTTTAGCTTTTGAATATAGAATGGTCTGTTTAATTCTATGTATTTTTGGTAAAGTTTCTTTTTGGTCCTTGGTGCCTTAATTTCTTCTGTCTGATTTTCAGGAAAAGACAGAGTTATGGATGAAACTGGTATTAGAGATCTTGTTGGTAGATAGGATCTTGCTGAGACAAGCTTAACCAGTGACTGAGTTGTTTGGGCAGAAGTAGGATTGGTTGAGAGTTCTTGGCATGGACTTAAAGTTGAGCTTTGGGGTTCTTAAAGTCATTATAAATTGCCATCAATTGTTTTGTTGTGGCTGAACCTTTTAGGGATGGTGGTCTGTAATCCCATTTATGTTTGCCAACACTGCTCCAATTCCATTTTGAAGCATTTTGTTCAAGCTTGAAAGAACCAGAATTATTTTTTCTTTTTCTCTGGTTTTGTCTATATAAGTGGTCTGAAGACTTGCAGAGTCAGAAAGTTTTGGCTGTCTCATTTTTCAGTACCCAGTAAGATTTAATTTAAAAAAATCACACAGCAGTTTCCCACTAGGGCCACATCTGCCTTTTACATATGCTGAGTATATTTTCTTTATAGTTGTGTTGTTGCCAAATAACAGCTATTAGGAGAATTTTCTAGGGTGCTGTTCTCTTCTAAGTCCTTTAGTGAAGCCACCAGATTCAAAGCTGTGTGGGTGGGCGGTTCACGCACACCATGTGGCTCCCAGAGCAGCGGTTCATCCTCTCTCTGGGCTCACTGTTCCGGTCTGTGTGGGTCGGCTTTTCTGCCCGTGTATCTGGAATGTACCACGCATCTCTCTTTTGACAGTGAATCTTCCTTGCCAGGGAGTTCGTTCTTTTGGAATGAATATTATGAAGCTTTTGCTGATATTTTCATTGTTGCTTGTGCTTTTGGTGCCATCTAACAGTCCATTGCCAAATCTGAGTTCAGAAAGATTTATGCCTGTGTTTTGTAAGAGCTTTATAGTTTTATTTTTTACATTTTGGTCTTTGATTCATTTTTAGGTCAATTTTTGTATGCAGAGTGAGGTAGGGGTTCAACTTTATTCTTCTGTAGTAGATATCCAAGTTATTTAAGCACCATTTATTGAAGAAACTATTCCCCATTGAGTGGTCTTGGCAATCTTGTCAAAAGTCAATTGACTAGATATATGGGTTTATTTCTGGACTCTCAGTTCTATTTTATCTATTTACACATCTCTCCTGACACCAGTACCACATGGTTTGATTACTGGTGCTTTGTAATAACTTGAAATTGGCAAGTGTGAATCCTGCAATATTGTTCACGTTTTTTTTTTTATTCTTTAAAATAGATTTTATTTATTTTAGAGAGGGAAGGGAGGGGGGAAAAAGGATGAGAACCATTGACATGTGAGAGAAACATTCACCAGTTGGCTCCCGTTTGCTTCTTGACCAGGAACTAAATCAACCTGCAACCCAACCATGTGCCCAACCCAACTGAACCACACCAGTCAGGGCTGTTATTTGCTTTTCAGTTAAGTTTAAATCCTCGAGGGGTACAGCATTACACGGATTCTGTGTCCAATGGCCTTAGCAGGAAGGTTGCTTCGGAATTTAGCACGGACCATGCCACTGTTGCCATGGGCACAAGTTACCTTTCCCCAGATGACTCTGGTTTTGTTTGGTTTACCACCAGGAGTCACCGTGTTGTTCTTTGCTTTGTATACATAAGCACATCTCTTGCCCAGATAGAATTCAGTTTCATCTCGAGCATAAACACCTTCAATTTTAAGAAGAGCTGTGTGATCCCTCTGGTTCCGGAGACCCCGTTTATAGCCAGCAAAAATGGCCTTGGACCACAGCCTTCCAGCTATAACTTGTCGTTGTAGAAGTCCTGTTCCCAGCAGGCCCCAAAATTCAGCAGCAAGCTGTTCACTTCTTTAAAGATTGTTTTGGCTATCACTTCCAATTTCATATACATTTTAGAATTGGCTTGTCAGTTTCTACAAAGAACTTAGTTGGGATTCTGATAGAGATTGTATTGAATATGTAGATCAGTTTGGGAGTATTGTCATCTTAATAATATTAAGTCTCCCAATCCATGAACATGGGCTGTCTTTCCATTTACTTAGAAGTTCTTTAATGTCTTACTTTTTAGATGATTGCTTTTGCAATTCTTTTGTTACATTTATTCATAAGTATTCTTATTCTGGATCAGGTTGTTTAAGATCTGAATTATTTATTTTTTTAATATATGATGGTAAAAACTGGGTTTTCTTATTTTGGAAGATTTTTAACTACTGATTTCAATTGCTTTAATTGTAGTAGGGTTATTCAGTTATATATTTCTTGAGTCATATTAGGTGTATTAGTTTGGGATTTATCCATTTCTTTTCAACTTTCAAATATATTAGGATAAAATGTTGGTAAATGCTCCATATGTGATAGAAAACACAAACTTTGAACTTGTTGGGTGTGGTTTTTTGTGTATGTCTATTAGATCAAAGTTACTAGTTGTCATATTCAAATGAGCTATCCATTTCTGAGAAAAGTATGTAAATTCTCACACCATGACATCAACTTGTAGTTCTGTCAATTTTTGCTTTATTTGTATTTTTATTTGTCCTGCTTTTTCTGTTTTCTGTTTCCTCCTTGCTGTTTTAGGGAAACCTACAGGTCTTTCCTTCTGTGCGTCTACCACTCCCGCTACTCCCATACTCATACTTGTGACACTTCTGGTCACCAGCTGTGTGGGGGTTTTACCCATCGCAAGCAGTTCTCTGTGACGCCAGCGGGGTATCCAACAATGGAACTCGGTTCTGACACTGTCTACCTGGAGAGAGCATCAGGTCGCACAGGTGAAGGGCTCAGTCGCACAGGACTGCCCCGCTTCAGACGTCAGTCACAGCTCAGTTTGTCACCTGTGCTCCTGACTGACCAGCTATACATCAGAGGTCCCCACGAACCCCCCTCAGGTTCTGCTAATTGGCTAGAGCAAATACAGAACTCAAGTTTACTTGCTGTTTACCAGTTTATTATAAAAGGATGTGATCAAGGGTCCAGGTGAAGGTCCGGATGAAGGAGATGCAGGGGAAAGGCATGTGGGAGCTCCACTCCCCCACCATCCTTGGGCCCACCAACCCCGACCCTCCCCGAATCCCATACCCTTGGGATTTTATGGAGGCTTTATCTCGAAGGCATGGTCGGTCACTAACCCCATGTTCAGCCTCTCCCTTCTCAGAAGTACAGGGATGGGGCCAACAATTCCCAGCTGTTGGTCCTGGCTGCTTTCTGGTGACCAGCCCCGTCCAGGGGCAATCCAGGTCGCCACGCAGAGCTGCCTCATCACAACAAAAGACATTCCTGTTGCCCTAGGAAATGCCAGGGTCTCAGGAGCTCTGCGTCAGGAACTGGGGGCAGAGAGCAATGTGCATTTTTCATCACCTTAAAATTGCCTTTTGTTTTTTCACATCCCACTTCACCTTACGTTTGAAGCTATTTGATTTTTGCTTCAGTGCTTACACTAGAAAACCTATCAATACTTAGTGTTTTACCCTTCCTTTCAGCAGTATAAGACTCATAGCCTGTTAACTTCAATGCTTCTCTTCCAATGTATATGTTACTCTTGTCATATATTTGTGGTTTTTATACATATATGTGTGTATATATGATACATTAACTATAATTTTTTGTAACCCCATAGGAGATGCTTGTATAAATCAATTACATTTCTTTACAATCACACATTTACCACTCTTGCCTATGAGGTCTTGTAATTCAAATCATTTTCCCTCTGCTTGAAGTTTATCTGTGGAAACGGCGGGGAGGAGGTGGGGTTTAACAAGCTGCTTCTTGCAAAGCAGGCAGCAAGCTGGTTCACTCTGCTGCTGTGGTTTGTTGATTCGCCCATTTGTTTATTTATTGTCTTTGTCTCTTTTCCTGTTACAATGGTGTAGTAGTTGTGATGGAGGGTTTATCTCCTGTAAAGCCTAAAATGTTTACTACCGGATCCTTGACAGAAAAAGTTGGCTGATCTTTGCCTTCGAATTTCCGTTGGTGAAGTGGTTGCTGATCGTGGCAGTCTCTGTTTTAGGTTTTCTGAAAAGCGTGTCTGTTTCTTCTGTCTTCTTGATCGTTTTGGAGGGTATGCATTCTCGGGAACGGCACCCGCGTGTTGTAAGTGCTGTTCCTCTGTTTTCTGCCTCCCATGGTTGCCGCTGGGACGTGCAGTCATTTCTCGGATGAGAAGCTGCCTTTTGCTATGTGGTTGTTTTTAAGATTTCTCTCTCTGTTTTTGGTGCTTTTCAGTTTCATCATGATCTAGCCAGGTGTGAATTTCTCTTTATTTCAATGTCTGTTTATTTTCCTGGGCATTTATTGCGCTTTCTAAATCAATGGATTGAAATCTGTTGTCAATTCTGGAAAGTTTTCAGCCTTACCTAGATATTTAGCCCTGCTCCATTCTCTCTTCCCTTTTCTTGGGACATGGAGTAGATTTTCTCAAAACTTTCACTCTCTTGGTGTCTGCTAACCTCCCTCTCTTATTTCCTCTCTGTCTCTTTGTGCTTTGATGTTGATCAGTTCTTCAGATCTGTCTTTTATTCTCTTCATTCTGGTCTCATCTGCTGTTAAGCCTGTTTGTTAATTTAAACTATTATGTCTTCTGAGTTCTTTGTCACATATGCTGAGTTCTTGTTCTTTTTATTTGTATTTTCAAAAACTACTTTTATTTCTTTAAACATTTACTTTCTGGGTAGAATTCAGAAAGTACGGGTACCGGACCCCAATGGGTGACGTCTTTGCAGATCTGGTTCTGATATGTTGTTCCTCTTGGTTCTCTTAGCACCTCGCTTCTGTGTGTTCTGTGATTTTTTTTTGGGGGGTCCCTCCCTCCCTCCTTCCTTCCCTCCCCCCCCTCCAGCACTAAAGGCACAAAAGAACCAGAATGTCAAACCAGAATGCAGTATAAGATCGGTTTTATTTAAATAATTACTTTTATTTTTCCTTCTGTAGGCGAAGAGGATTTAATAGAGTTCCCCACACTTCCTTTAGAATCTCCGAAAGCGTGGCCGGTGGAGGCCTGACCAGGGGGCCGCTGAGGCACCTTCATACTTTTCCACGTCTCTTCAGGCCCTTGAACAGCAGTGCCGGCCTGGTCATTTTCAAAGACGTGGCCTGGTCCAAAGAGCTCCTCCATCAGACTGCTCTTCTTCTCCCTGAAAGCTGCGTCTTTCGCTCCTGTCCCGGAAGGCTTCCCGAAAGAGGGCTCGTAGGCGCTCGCGGACGGCTTTGCCTTCGGTGTCTCTGTGCAGCCGCGCCGCTTGCCGGCGTTGGCTGGCCCGCCCGAAGCGGGGAGCCCGTGGTGCAAATTTTCAGTCGCTACTGTAAATGAATAATGCTTTCTTTGTCTGAGGAGTATTTTGGTATTTGGAGCAGCATTTTTATTTGGTGCTTCGTCCGTGTCACTTATTTGCAGACTATTTTTAACCTCTTCCTTTGCTGCGTTGTTTTTCTGCTGGCCTTCCTGTTCAGGGTGAATGACTTGAATTCTTTCTGGTGGTAGTTCTTGTTCTTTTTCTAAAGTGGTTTCCTTCTCTTGATTTGCTTTTTTCTCCCTCTGTCTTCCAATACTCCCCAGAGCTGCTTGTACTTTCAAATGTTCCTCTTCCTTTGATAAATCTGTAGAAAAATAATCAATTTGGGGACCTTTAAAATGAATGGACTTTTATTCCAAGATGGCATGCATGTTTGCCACACTTATTTATACCTCCTGACAAGCACAGTAAAATGACAAAAAAGGCAAGAAAATAAATGCATATAACACTAGAATACAGGCAAGGTGCTATTTTTTAAGAAATAAAAGTTTTATTTTTAGAGAGAGGGGAAGGGAGGGCAAAAGAGAGGAAAACATCAATGTGTGGTTGCCTCTTGCATGCCCCCTACTGGGGACCTGGCCTGCAACCCAGGCTTGTGCCCTGACTGGGAATTGAACCACCAACCCTTTGGTTGGCAGGCCACTGCTCATTCCACTGAGCCACACCAGCCAGGGTAGACAGGGTGTTATTAACAGGCATGAAATGTTGTACTCTCCTAGGACATACCAAATGATTGAGAAGTAGGAAACCAAAAGGAAAATGATATGCATAAAGAAAACTTTGCCAGTAAGTTATTACTACATGTTCAAACACCACTGGCTGGATAAAGTGCCAGTTAAAACAATGAGGGTATTTTTCACGCACCCAATTGGCAAGTAATTTCCAGAGCCAGTGAGAATATGGGGAAATTGGAACTTCCGTTCCCCATCGGTGGGTGTGTAAATTGGCATAGCTTTATTTGGATGCCAATTTGGTATGTCGATCACTGTTTTATATGAATATATTCTTAGCCACAACAGCTTCACTTCTAGGACCAAACCTTACAAAAACACAACAATATGTAGCATAAGGATGTTACCACGCACGGTTAATAACAACGAACCGTCCTAGATGCCCGGCAGGTCCTGGGTAAATAAACGACAGAGCTTGCAGCCTGCGGAATCCCGGGCATTTGCGATAATGCGGTGGGTGAGCAGGCCCCGCCAGAGGTTTCGCGGTGTGTGGTTCAGTGAAAGGCCGCGGCAGGAAGGGCGGCCTGTCCCGGCCCTTGCCTGCTGCAGGCAAAGACCCACAGGGTCCGGATGCTGAGCCGCAGAGACCACCCACCCACGCGTTCATCGCACGGGACCTGTTTCCAGACCCGGGTGTCCGGCCGTTCGCGAGGGCGCGTGGGCCCGGTGCTGGGGGTGCTGGGCGCGCAGCGAGCGGGCACGTGTTCTCCTGTGAACGCGTTCTGAAACAAAACCGCTGCTGGGCCAGGCAAATGCAAAAGGGGTTCTAGTAAGAGAAGAAATGTGTTTCCAGGATTGGTGGTGAGCAGAGAAACCAGCAAGACCTGCAGTTACTTATAAATGATTGTTAGTGTTATGCCCTAGGACACTCAAATGCTGGAGTTTGGAGGCTGGTGAGACGGCTTGCTTCGTCTCCGCGGCTCGCAGACCCGCCCGCGCCCTCAGCCCGCGCCCGGGCTGCGGCTCCCGGCTCCGCCGGTCTCCCTGCCCCGGCCCTTCGGCGCAGCAGCCAGAGAAGGCGGATCTGGGCCCCCAGTGAAGGGCAAGCCCAGGATGGCAGCTGCGCGCCAGAGGCAGGGGGCCACCAGTCCAGAGGCAAAGTGGCCTGAGCATGAAGGGCTGGCTGGCGTCACCAAGACCCCCGCTCCTCTCCCCCGCCGTGGGGGTAAGTGCCGAGCAGGTCCTCGGCCACAGCCTGATGGAGGTGTGGCCGTGTCTATCACGAGCCGCCGCCTGGGTGGGCAGGCTCACTTCACCTGCAGGAGCGTTCTGTCGCGCGACCTGCTGCCCAGAGCTGGCGGTGAGCTGGGGGTGAGCATCCCCGTCCGCCCGAACCCCGTCTCCCCGAACTGCGGAGGGAGCGGCCCTGCCGATGCCATGCGCGCGCACGGAGGGGCTCTCGGCGCCCAGGACGGTGCAGGACCCGCCCTGACGGCCCTCGCACGCTCGGGAGCCAACGCCGCAGTCTCTGTCCAGCCTCCCCGTTCCTGGAAGTCTTTGCCCAGTCTTTGCGAGTGGCAGTGTTGCCCTTCACTCGGCTGGGCTTCGTTTGCTGTGCAGTTTGTCAAAACCGAGCGTATTTTTAAGGATGCAGCCGAGGACAGGGAATTGAGAAGCAGCGCAAGGGCCTTCCCCCTGACTGAAGAGGATGGTTGTTTAGGGCGGGCGTGGACGGGGCTGTGTTTAGGCAGGGTCCACGGTGTGGTCCAGGGGACACTCAAGTTCTATTTCTTAGGGTAGTGGCTACATGGTATTAATTTTATAATAATTCTTTGAACTGTATTTATGTCTTTTATGTGTACTTTTATACACAGACAGCAATTCACAACTTACAAAAATCAGTAAGAATAAATATGAATTAAAATTACCTTCATATTTTCTCTTGGAATCTTCTTGGCTTGGTAGTTTACTGATATAGTGAGGAATTACACGGACTACTTCAGCTGGTTTTTCTTTATGACCAGTGTTTCCCGTTGTCTTTTTACTCTATAATTCAGAAAAGCAGCAAAACCTCATCTTTTAGGTATACTTTTAAATTGTATTTCAGTCTATGACTACAAATACTTTTTTTTTGTATAGAACATGTGACTGTTTGTAGCCTATTTTTGTAAAGGTTTGATTAATTAGATCTTGCAAGATTTCAAATTTGCTGTACCTTAGTCATCAAAGATGGAATGTCTTCCGACTTTTGGGTTTCCTGGTGTCTCATACTTGTAAATGAAACACCCGTCCTGTCTGCTTGTACTGATTTTGTTGAAGAAACTACAGAACAGGTATATTACACTTAAGAAACATATCTGACATTTGGAAGCAATATTGATTTTAAGTATAAAACAATTGACATTATACAATGTAGTAAAACAAAGTACACTGGATATTTTCTAAAACTTTTCAATATAGTTATACCATTTGCCACCATCATGTGTCCCCTACCATTTCACTTGCTCTGTCTTGTTTGGGCCACAAAGAGTCCCAGTGTCTGAATCCAAAGCAAGCAGGCACCTGGAGGGTCGGCGCTGATGTCCGAGGGCACCATGGTCCCCGCTCGCAGAGGGGACCCAGAGCTCAGATGCGCAGCCGTGAGAGTGAGCGCCCCAAGCCACGTTGGCCCTGCTGCCCACCGAGGGGTAGAGGGCCCAGGCTGCGGTGGCTGCGTGCCCGCGAAATCTAGAAGGCCCTCTCCCTCAACTGTCATCCTGTTTAACTGGTCCCCTGGTTGAGTTTATCATGATCTCTGCTGGCTGTTATTCTGGATTACAAACCAGAGGCAAACGAAGGCAGGCAAGGGAACTTGAAGCTGTTGCCTCTAAAAGTGAACATGTAGTTACTGCTCCTAAGCCAGGGTGAGTGTTCCTATTGTGTCCTTCTGGGCAGAATGTTATGCTGGAAGCTCTTGGGGGGTGGAAAGTGAGTACATCTTGTCTGGAAGGAAAAAATACTACTCAGGAACAAAAAGGTACAAACTAACGATAGTAGCAGCAACATGGATGAATCTGAAAAACATGGTGCTGGACAAAAGAAGCCAGACACAAAAGGAGTAGCCATTGATGATTCCATTTCTAGGAAGTTCTTGAAGAGGTAAATTATGCTGTTAAGCTGTTAGGACAGCAGGGACTCAGCGGTCGCCTCAGGCCAGGGATGGGGGACTGCTGAGCACAAAGAGGGCATGAGGCCACCTCCCCAGGACATAGCAATGTCCCTTGTCTTGATTGCAGTGGTGATACCATGGGAATAAATATGCATTTGTCAAAACCCATTGACTCGCACACTTAAAATGGGTGCATTGTAGTGAGGTGAACTCTGCCTAAGTAAAGTTGATTTTCAAATCCACACCCCTTACTCTTAGAAAGTTCAATATCTGGCAGCCACTTTGTTTCGAGCTGAAAGTTCTCTCATTCGACCTGAAGGAAGAGCACATGGGACTGAGCGAAGGTGGGAAGACAGGAATACACGCGTTTCTATTCTTTTCTAGCTGTTTCAACCACGGCCCAGTTTTTTTTGTTCTTCTGGAATCACAAAATATGTTTTAATGCCTAATAAAATGGTTTCTAAAATATCCATTATTTTGGTGATATAAGTTAGGAAAATCTGAGTAGATACTTAAGAATAGATGTTTGAGGAAAAATAGTTAAAACATACCTTTTGGATAATCTTCTTTGTCATGTAAATTTTTCATTATCCGAATAGCATAGATGTTTTTAATTTCAAGCTCTCGCTCCTTCTCCTAAAGAGAACCACAATACCAATTTTTTCATAAATATTTGCTTTTATCAACCTTGATTTCTTCTAAAAAACCATTTAAGTGAGTTCAGTATTCTTTGAATAAAATCTATAATTCTAGCAGAAATAGAAATAGGGCATATCATTGTATTTCATTCCTGACATCAAAAAGTACTTTTTCGCAGAGTGACAAATTATTGTGATGGGGACAATATTTCTGAAAAGTTTCCAAGCCAGCTTCTCTCACTTTTTCCCATCCCCTGACATTTATTATTCTTTCGCATGGTACCATATGGTGGCCACTAGCCTTGTCGTGATTTAAACTAATTAAAACACATAAAAAAGAATGAAATCTTACCGTTTGTGGCAGCGTGGATGGACCTAGAGAGGGTTATGCTACGTGAAATAAGTCAGTGAGCGACAAATACCATGTAACTTCGCTTATTTGTGAAATCTAAGAAACAGAATAAATGAACGAACAACATAGAAACAGACTCAGAGACACAGTGGGGCTGGTGGGTGTCAGACGGCGGGGGGGGGGGTCTGGGGAGCTGGGTGGAAAGGGTGAGGCGATGAGGAAATGCCAGCTGGTGGTTACAGAACAGTCATGGCGACGAGGAGTTCAGCACAGGGAATACGGTCACTAGTATTCTAATCACTGTGTGGTGCTGGTCACTAGTATTCTAATCACTGTGTGGTGCCGGTCACTAGTATTCTAATCACTGTGTGGTGCCGGTCACTAGTATTCTAATCACTGTGTGGTGCCGGCCACTAGTATTCTAATCACTGTGTGGTGCCGGTCACTAGTATTCTAATCACTGTGTGGTGCCGGCCACTAGTATTCTAATCACTGTGTGGTGCCGGCGGGGCCCTGGGACTATCAGGGGAGGGACCACTTTGCAAAGGAGATGATCGTCTAACCACCGTGCTGTACATCTGAAACCAATACAAAATAATATTGAAAGTAAATCGTAATTGAAGAATAAAAGTTAAATAATAAACTAACTAAAATAAAATGAGATGAATAACTCGGCCCTCGGCGCTGCTACCCACACTCCGACCACAACTGTGGCCGCAGCGGACAGCCCTCCGTTGCCCCCGTGAGACTGGCCTGCACTCCGCAGCGCGGGCACGGACGTCTCGGCGCAGCTCCAAAGCCCAGCATTCTCTTTAAAGTCTCGGCAAAACAAAAGATTTGAAATCCTGGCTTGTTGAGGAAAAAAATTATTTGATTAAACACCAAACATGCCTTCTTACACATCATCAAGAGGCGAGCCCGTCAGACCCAAGACCACTGAGTTTTAGTCAAAACCCATCGACGGGAGGCGGGCCTGCGAGTCGAGGGTGTCCCCCAGGTCTGATCAGAAAGGAGAGCCCAGGAGGGAGGGGTCCAGGGGTGGGGAGTAGGAAGAGACAGAAGAGATCCTGACGTTTAAAGGGGCCAGTTTTGATTATCTGGAAAGTTCAGTGAGAAGGTCAGCGTGTTCTTCAGCAGCAGAGAGCAGGAAGGGGCAGGTGAAGAACTGCGCACTGGCAGGTGCAGGATGGCCGCTGGGGCCAAGAACAGGAAAGACAGCCCTTCATGCTGGGAACACAGGCTTATGTGGTAGGTCACAAAGCGGGGCCTGGGCCCAGAATCAAAGACAACAGTTTCAGAACGCAATCTACCGTGCTTGTGTGCTTGAACTGGTTAATCAAGAGAAACAATAAGAAAGAAAACCCACATCTAGAAACGCTCATGGAATGCCTGTGGACTATTGGTAGGAAAGAACTCACGCTCAGAGTTAAAGGGGAAGCTGAGTCATGGCGTGGAGCCTCAATGAGGTCAGCACAGACAGCTGCCGGGAATTGGAGAGTCAACCAGGTCTGAATAGACACCACATCCTTGGCAGGGGCGAGCCGGTAGCCTGCATGCAGGCTGGGGTGCAGGGCCTCGCTGGGAGCTGTGGGGGCTGACATCCCTTCCCCGCCCCGTCATTTTGACCCAAAGCCTAGAAGTGGAGCATGGCCTAGACTTGGTGCTGGCGACTTTCCACCCTCCACTCCCGTAACTCCTTCCATCTTACAAAATGGAAACTCTGTCCCCATTAAACATGAACTCCCGATCCGCCCCTCCCCCCAGCTCCTGGGAACCACCTCTGTGCTCTGCTTCATGACTGTGACTACTTACTCTAGGTACCTCACGTGGGTAGAATCACACAGTATTTGCCCTTTTGTGACTGACTGACTTCACTTAGCACACTGACCTCAAGGTTCATCCATGTTGTAGCAGGCGTCAGAATGACCTCCCTTTTTAAGGCTGCCTGAATTCCACTGCTTCATGTATAAAACATTTCACTGACTCATCTAAGCATATGCAGTAAATAATTAATGTGTTATAAGCCGCTTGGAATGGTGTTTCTCTGTGACATTATATCAGCACTGGAAAACAGTGGGCTTATTTTTTCATTGTGCCTTGGACTTTTTGGGAATGCTTTTCAATTTTTTTTTGTGTTTCCTTTTGCTTCATAATTATGCAAAATATTTCCATGGTTCTAAAGTCAAATCTACCAAAAAGACAGTCAAGAAATCGAGGTTCTATATCTGTCTCTTCTACTGTAGTCTGTTCCTGCTTCCATTGTTCCCCTACTATTGTTTTTCTTTTATAAATATAAGCTAATATGTGGATATATTTGTATTGCCTCCTTTCCTTTCTCCCTCTTTTCAGTAAAGAAAAATATAGGGTTTAACACACTCTTTTAATTTGTTTTTAAGTATTTTTAAGATTTAAAAGTGTTTAAACTTTATAATTCTCAGTGGGAAAATATTATCTGATAGAATGCTGTAATCGCAGACCACTGTCAAATGCCACAGCTGCATTTGGGGCAGAGGGTAGGGAGTCTCTTCGACGCCCCCCAGCTTTCTTCACAAGAAGGCCAGAGGTGCACAGGTTTGTATTATTGCGACATCCATTGAGTGATCCAAGTTGCTTTCCCTTCAGCAAAGGCTTTATCTGTCAGAACGGCATTATACTTGACCTCCAAATTTAGCTGATAATTTACTGAGGAGATTCATAGCCTTTGGGTCGCTCTGATATTTTGACCTACTTGCAGGTTCTGAGCCACATCCTGGAAGGCCACCAGGACTTCCGGGTCCTGCATAGCTGCAAGAGCCTGTGGGTCACTAAGAGGTTCATTGAGCCCAGGCATCCCTGCCATTCCAGGCATTTCCCCAGGAAAGCCACCTGGATAGGAGCCATACTGAGCTCCTGATTGTGGTCTGGCTTCTCCCTCCCTCCAGGCTCTCTTATGTTCTTCCCAAGCTTTCTTAACTCTTTCCATTCTTTCTTTGATCTCTTGCTCGTCAGGATTCCGCTCATACTTTCTCCGATGTTCTGCAATTTTCTGGGCCCTTGGTTGAACTTCTTTCGGCATTGCACTAGCATCTTCATCATAATCCAATTTACATGCAAGGGCAAGATCATGGGGCTGCTTCTTCCCAATGGCCCAGAAGTCTGTGTGCTCTCCCTTGCCATTTATAAGGCCGAGCTGAACCAGGATTTATTTCAATAGCTCTGTCACGGTCTTGGATGGCAGCGTTTCGCTTCTGTAATTTGATGAAGACATGGGCTCTCTTGGCACACAGAATGGCCAAGCGAGGATTCAGCTTGGTGGCGTCTGTGAACAAGCCATTGACTTTCTGTGGCTCACCACCCTTTAGGGTGTCCGTGGCAGCCATTTTTTGTCATGTGCCTGGTCCAACATCTCCTTGGTCACCTCTACGTTTTCTTCTCCTGTTTCTTGAGGGGCATCAGTGTCTGCTTCAAGCACACCCTCATTGCCAATTTCTAGATCACTTTCCTTGCTTGATGGTTCCTCTATCTTTGTGTCTTCTTCCACCTTTTTACTGTTTTTTCTTCCTTATTTTCTTCTGATTTGGTTTTTGAGTAGCAGGTGGTATTTCACCTCCTGTGCTCTCTATTCACTCCCTCAGGAAGCACATTTCCCCGGTGTGCAGATGCTCGGATCCTGCCTGCATATTTTCATGAAGGTCCAAAGCTCGCTCACTTTGTCAGGGTCCATGGCCGGGAAGTGGCGGGTGGTGGCGGGCGCTGCTTAGGTTGCTAACTCGGCATGACCGTGTGGAAGGGGCTGCATTGCCTCCTTCTCTTAAATAGCAGCACACTGTACCCTGTCCCTGCCTTCCTGTCTTCACTTATCAATATATCCTGGAGATTATTCCCTATTACTATATGGCTTCCTCATTCCTTTTTGCACATGCACAGAATTACATTGTGTGGGGGTTTATTTACTCTTCTTTTTAAAAATAAACTTGGCCCTTACTGTATATAGGATTTTGTGTCTTTCTTTTCATTAAACACTTCATTAAGTATTTCTCCTGTTAAAGTTGTAAGGTGTTTTTTTAGTGACTACATACTATTTATGTGCATGCATACGGCAACATGTGAAAGCAGAACATTTCTTTTAAAACGCGCTGATTGTGTCTCCTATGTGTGCGTGCATGTGTGTGTGTGTTTGCTTCAACCAGTGGGCACTAAAGCTTTTTCTGTTAGCTTTCTAAGTGGGTTGCTATGGTCACGCCCAGTTCCTGGCACAGTCTACTCTCAGAAGTTTCCTGAGACTCTGCAGAAGACAGAATCCGCCTTGCCCCGCTCTGCAAAGGGAGAACTGACAGCCAACTCCCCCCTCACCCTCTCCTCCTGCCTCTAAGTGCTCTCAGGCCCCCAGGAAATGGCACTAACGAAGTTCTTGTCTCAAAGAATCAAGCTTAGATTTACTAGCTGAGGCTTGAAAAAGCTCTATTTCTTAAGTGTCTTATCTAGCTTTCCCAACTCGTTGGACATTTTAGAAACCGGGAATCCAGAAACAGCAAAAGTCTGAAAAAATATTTTTATTTCCCATTTTTTAAACACACTTTAAAAGACAGTTTTTCAAGCATATTTGCAGATTACTCTATTTTAAAATTATAAGTTAATTTTTAAGTTTAAAAACTTACTTTGGTTTCCATTAAAATATTAAGAAAATACAATAGTATTATGTCACATGATAAAATAAAAATAATACAAAGTGCTGTCAACAAATGAAAGAGAGCTTCACTTTAGCTAATGAAGTGCACGTTTACCAGGCTGCTAACGCATGGAATAATTTCAGATCCCCTAGCTGTTCATACAGGTTGCAGGGGAAATAGTAATTTTGAGGAATGTATTCCTGAAGTTAAATAATTTAAAGATATGATAGGCATAAATAGCTCTGATAATTTGGGAAGAAGAATTTCACAAATTTTGTTACATTTTACTTTAAAAGAAGTACCTTAAGTTTTTGCTGAAGGCGTTTGACTTCCACTTGCAGAGTCTTCTTAGCTGTCTGGGCAGCTAAAGTCTTCTGGTTCTCCATGGCCAACTGCTGACTGAAGGCTTTGTTGTTCAGCCTCAGTTGCTTCTCTAAGCTCTGCAAACAGTATATATTTCAGCTATTCTGTGACCAGTGTTCTTTTATTAAAAACTTCCATTTTAATGGAACAAATTGCATTTATAAGAAGTGCAAATTTTTAATACAGTTTCAGTGATGGCTTGTAGAGGGAGCATACAGTAGAAATAAATAGAATCACGAAAAGCCCAAATCCCGGATCATGACTTCAGAGCATAAACAGCATGCTTTGAACCTAATGTTTTTTATGTTCTGGGATTTGATAAAATTTTTTTGAGCAGGTTCTGAAAATCAATGCCTGTAATCAATGTCCCACGTTAGCGTGAGGCAGTCCTGCTGACAGGAAGTACTCGGCTACCTTGGCACAGGGCACAGCGAGTCCTCACCTAACGTGCTTAGTAGGTTCTTGGAAACTGTGACTTTAAGTGAACGATGTACAACGAAACCAATAGATATAAATTAGAGTTATGTCCCTATGGCGTATTTCTAGTCATAAAAACCTCACCACACCTCTAAAGAAAGACCTAAAACACCTTAATAGTAAACATTGACATAAATGTGAGCTATACATACATTTAAGCAGGATGAGCAAAAACAAGATCATTCTTTCCACTGATTGCCGTTCAGGGCCGTGTGTGGCCGGCAGCTCAGGGTGCCGGGCGGGACCCACCCTGGACAGGGCGCCCTTCCAGTGCCGGGCGCACCCACACCCACACCCACACCCACACCCACACCCACACCCACGCACGCTGGGACATGGGAGACACTCCTGTCCCCTCAGGTGCACATCACTGGGATGCAGGAGGAAACCAGTGTCCCCAGAGAAAGCCCACGCAGCCGTGGGCAGAAAGTGCAAACTCCTCAGCGACAGCAGCCCCGGCCAGGAACAATGATTTTTTTCCCCTTTTCAATGTAATAATGAAATGGTGTTGAACCAAACAACATTATTTGAGGGCCTGCTGTATTCTTTAAAAATCTTCCAAGCCTCTCCTGAAGGGCTGTCCGGCATCGGTGCCGACCACCGTGGCCTGCGGTCCTGGAAACTGGGACTCACAGGGCCACACAGAGGGGGAACGGCTGACTCAGCAGAGGCGCCATCCACGCCCAGGACTCACTGCCGCGGCCGCAGGCTCACCTTCCCTCTGGAGGGAGGACTGGTTCACTGGAGAACTGATCTGGACTTTGACAGAGCCGTGGCCAAAGGCCTTTTCTTTCTTTCCATAAAGAGTCGTTTCCCCCATTATAATATTAGTACCTTCTCATTAAAGGAAAGTAGGAAATTCGTAAGCCAAAACAATGAAATAATCACTGAAAACCCAATTCCCTAAAATATTAACATCAAAAAAAAAATACCTACATGTTTTTGGCCCACAAACATTTCCCCCTATAAAATGCCCTATAACCAAATGGAATTTTCCACACAACTAAGTGCTTCTGATAAGAAAATACTCAATTTCTTGAATTCTCTTTGTTTTGTTTATGGATATAAAAACATGTACATGTAAATATATGTAGATGAGATAAAAATACACTTACTTTTACATGGCAGGCACATGCTAACATGGACCTATATTACCCGAAAGGCCACATAAGAGCACTGTGATACCCCACTTGCCTGAGTGAATGTAAAGTAGCTCATTATTTTCTGTAGTTCACATGTCCATTTTAGGTGAGAGAATTCTCTTTGAAAATAGAGGAGGATTTTACCAAAGAAGAGATAACTGAAATTTAAAAAGTGTGTGAAATGAATTGATATTTTCTAATTATTTTAAGGTCATAGGAAATACTTGTTTTTTACCATAATGTATTAAAGAATTAAACAGTAAATTAATGCCATATATATGTTTATGTCTAAAGAGACCAAAACCTATCTGATGGAAAATGGGCAGAATACTCAATATTTGGTGTTCTCCCAAACCATCCCTCATGTGGAGTCTCCAAGCTTTGGGCAACCATTCATTACTAAGGAAAATCAACCCATTCATTTCTTGAATTATTTAATTCCTTTCCCCTCTCTGTTCCCAGGAGTGTTATCTGGGAAAAATTTTAACTTCTAAAATACCAAAACTCTCTATGCAGCAGTGACGGGACAGACTAATGAGGGAGAATGTAAAAGGACGAGGACTGAAGAGATGCATCTTGAGGTTGTTAGGGAAGCGGCCTTTTAATAAAGAGTTTGAGGTAGAGGGTTGGTTTCCCAGACAGGTTGTACACTACACAACACAACACAACACAACACAACACAACACAACACAACACAACACAACACAACACAACAGCCTTTTCAGCATGTGAAAGATCTCCGCTCACAGGTGAACAGTCATTTTCAGATAAAGAGCCTAGTGCTTGCTCACTGCAGCGGGGCACTTCCAGGCTTGAGCTGTTTCTGTCTTCCCTGCAAGCGGCCCCCACCCCTGCGCTTCTTGCCCCCTAGTGGACAACAGCGGTACTGTGAAGGCCTGCAGGGCCAGGCGTGCGGTGCCGCTTCATTATGCAAGCACAAACATGCACGTGCACCCCTCGGTATTAATTCTGGAACCTTAATGTGTCAAGGCCTCTGAAATACAGACCTGTATTTTTTTGTCATTTGCCTCCATTTTTGTTGTAAGAATAGCCAATCTTTGAGTAAGTTCTTCCCTCTCTGCCAGACTTTTGTCTTCAGAAAGCGTCTGCAGTGCCCGCAGGGTGTCTTTGGTCTTCAGCAATTCGCTGTCGGTGTATCTGAGTTTCCTAGAGACAATTCTTTCCTTTTCTTTGGATTTCCTAAGGAGCTCCCTTAAATTTTTAACTTCATTTTGATGTTTAACCATAATCTGAGGTACATTATTTTGTGAAGTCTCATATTTTCCTATAGCTTTCAAGTGCCTAATCTGAAGTTGTTTCAAAAACTGGTTTTCTACAACTGTGGCTTCCAGTTTACGATGTATATCAGTTAATTCATTTTTTAGTTCTTTAATTTTATGGAGCCTTGCTGAGAGTATGCGATGAGTCACAGCATCTCTTCTCTGGGTAATCATATTGATTTTAGAATTTAAAAATGATGCATTCCAGTTGTGCTTTTTTTCAACTGAGATTTCCTTCTGGCCTGTTAAGCAGATAATCCAGTTTATTACTAGTAATATCTATATGTATATCTATATCTCTACAGATATGCAGATACACAAATATAAATTTATGATACCCCCCTCTCCTGCACAGATATACATACTCAAGAAAACCAAAAGGGAAAAGATCTAACATTTGATGAATACTCATGCTTAGGCAAGGGACTTTATATATAGATATCTCATCTAATACAATTCTTTAAGGTCAGCAGTAGTCTATTTTAGAGCTAGACATTTTAAGTCCACTGTCCAAGGTTACATAACTACAAAGTGACTCAGTAGATTGAAAACCAAGTCCTCTTTGACTCTGAAACCTGTACTTATTTCTTTTATAAAGCCAAACTAAAATTCATGATAATAGGTGACATTTATTAAGTGCTCACCTATGCCAGATATTGAACTAAATGGTTTATGCAGATTGTCTGATGTAAACCTTCTAACAATATGCGATGAGGTAATTACAATGTAATATTAGAGCCCAATGTTGTATATGAAGATCTCATATATTCAAAAAGACCCTTTAAAAGCCATTACACTTGTTAGAATATATATAGCACATTCCATTTCTCAATAAACCCAACAAAGACAATTTTTCCTCTACTACTTTGGCTGGGTACTAAATAAAGTAGTTAAGGGGCTTGTTGTTCAGGGGTTTATTTTAAACAAAATGTTTCTAAACAATATTATAGCAAACTTACAGGTACCAAGTTTATATAATTGAATTTGAGAACATCAAATGTATGGGTAACATCGCTGTATTGCAATCCCATTTTTAATTTTTATTTTTTAAAAATATCAATTTTTTGTTCCATTTCTTGATGCATTCGTTCATTGATTTTTGTATGTGTCCTGACTGGGGATTGAACCTGCAACCTTGGCATATTGGGACAATACTCTAAACAGGATGTGCACAGAGCACATTGGTGCCTTGAAAAGAGGAGCTATTAGCCTTTAAAAGATCACATGGGATGGGACAAGGGACACACAAGTGATGAAAATGAGGAACCAGAGGACCTTCCTGAAGTGCTCTTGTCTGCTTAAGGCCTTCCATACGCTCTCCATTTCCCAGACACACCTGAGATTAAGTTTCTTGTCCACCCCATTGGGTGGGTCAGAGAAGATGAGCCAGTTTGCTTCAGAAAGGTAAGTATATCACTTGTCATTTGAGTGGTCAAGAATAAATTCATATTATATACATCACGCATACTTACATAACTATAAAGTTTACAGAAAGTTAAAACATGGTTTAATCCTTAACGATTTTCATATCTCATTATCCTAACTTACACATAATAAAAGTAAAACTTATAATCTCTCTCCCATTTCACACAATTAAGGCAGATTTAGCTCAATGATAAAACTACTTTTAGGATACTTAATTTTTTTTTAATCCTCAGCAGAGGACTTTTTTTTTTTCATTGCTTTAAGAGAGGTGGGGGGGGGGGAGAGAGAGGGAGAGAGAAAGAGAGAGACATCAATATGAGAGAGCAACATCAATCAGTTGCCTTCTCTTATGCACCCAGACTGGGGATTGAACTCACAACATGGGTATGTGCCCTGACTGAGAACAGAACCTGTGACCTTGTGGTCTACTACGGGATGATGCTCCAACCAACTGAGCCACATGGGCCAGGGCAGGATACTTAATATTTAAACCACTGAGCTAAAACACTCAAATTAAGTTAATTCATCAAAAACTTGTGCATTTAAATCCATAGTTACCCAAAAAGGCACTCTTCGCTTTACTTACAAGGCAGGCCCTGTGCTGTTCGGAACAGCCCTAAGGATGCGCCCCTGCCCTCACTTCGCCGGCCCCAGCTCGCCTCCTTCCAGCCTCGCCCTCACCTCCAGCTCTCACCCCTCCCTCCCGTTCACAGAGCCCCTGGGCAGGAGGCCCCCTAGCCCATGCTGTTTCCTTCCGCTGTACCCCCGGCCTCCTCCAGTCCCTCTCCTGGTCTTTCCTTCTTGGGTTTCAGTGTCTTGTTCCCTTCGCGAGCCCCCCCTCCCCCGCACCCTCCGTCTTGTTCCCGCTCACTCCTGTTGGCTTGCGCTCCACCAGCTTCCGTCTCTCTTCCAGATAACACTGTATTTCACCTTGACAGAGACGCCCACTGCTGCCCAGGCCCAGGTGAGGAGAGGGGCCTGGAGAGGTCGCTGCCCTTTCTGTTCCCCACAGTTCCCTGTGGCAGTCTGTTGGCGAGGGTCTCTTCAACACCATCTCCCACCCACACCTGACCACAGACAACACGGCTAGAAGTGCCCCAGCAACCCAATGCCGTAGGCAACCTCCTTTTCCATGCACCGGTTGTTGTGGACGACTGTCACGCACTTTGGCATCGTAGTGACGAAGCACATTAAAGAAGGACGTGCAGGCTGGGCACAAGTAGGTTCACAGCTGCGAGTGTGAGAAACACAGAGTTTGTCCTTGTATTATTATTGATTGAGTATTGTATTATTGTCCATACAAACTGTAAAACCTACTTTTGCCCCATCCAGTATAATTGAAAGAGTGCTGAAAGTATATTTTCTACAAAAGAAAGAAAAAAACAATTTTTGAAAATTAAATTGTAGAAATATATTGCTTGTTATTTATCTGTTATTAATCTTTTTTTTTCTTTTTCAGAGAGAGGGGAAAGGAAGGAAAAAGAGAGAAAAAAGTTGATGTGTGAGAAAAACATCGGTTGCCTTTCACATGCCCCCAACCAGGGACCTGGCTACAACCCAGGCATGTGTCCTAACCAGGAATTGAACCTGTGACCTTTTAGTTCACAGGCTGGCATTCAACCCACTGAACCACACCAGCCACAGCTGATATTACTATTCTTTAGTGAATTCCACGTCTCTACTGGTGGCTCCTAATCTAGTGTTCCCAGTCCCCGAGGGTCAGATGTCTACTTTCAACATATGAGAAGGCTGAACAGACACTGAGCACCCACTTAAGAAGGGGCTGTGCTGGCTAAAACATTAAGCATCTTTGCTTTGGGTTAGAATTACATTAATTCTTTGCTGCTTAAATTTCTTTGACAAACACTTGCAAAACATGAGCTGTAAGGGAACAAAAGAATAAAAGGATAAACCAAGGAAATACTTTATCATTCTGAGACAAACTGTAATGTTACAACAAATGTCTTAAGTTCATGATGCACTGGTACAAAGATCCTCAGGAGCATATAATTTGAGTTAAAGATGCACCCAATATTTAAAACAGCTTCAGAGTGATCATACACAAAGGAGTCCCCTTTAGAATTCTGACAGTTCAGGTGACTGACTTAATTTAGCTTGCTCCCAATTTATGAACAGGTATTTTGCATAGAATGAATAACAACCAGTAAATATCTGTGGAACAAATCAATGAGAAATCAGTTTTTAAAAGTTCAATTTTAAGGTGCTTAGGACTCCAAACGCAGCTCGTTTGTTAAGAAAGTGTCACAAACACTCCCCGCCCGCCCACAGTCCCACAACGCGCAGATTCAGTATAACGCGCTGTGTGCAGATCCCTGTCCCCTGGTTGTAAACCTTGGGGGCCGCGCCTTCCTGAATTTGGGGGTTTTCTTTTTTAAGGTGCATGTATGTTATTTGCCGCGGTGCTGCCATCCCAGTAGGTCTGGGGACAGCACACTTGAATCAAAGAATATTTTTATAGTGAAACAGATATGACTATTCACACTAAGTGAACTAAAGATCGGTCTCATGTCCGTTCAAAGCAGGTTTTTGTCGCCACATCAGTTTTGAGGCCAAAGATATGAAAAGCGCTTGGTTTGCAGAGCTTCGCAGGTGCAGCTCACGGCCCGCGCAGCTGCGGAGGCCGTCCTGCTGTGACGGGTAACCTGTCCCAAGCGCCAGGGCCCACGTCTGCCCTTGGCCTTGCCCGTGGGTGTGGGACAGCCGCCTTCTAGAGAGGGGGCTTCTAGCCTTCTAAGAATCTGCTGAAAGCCGTGGGCCCTTCTCCCTAGACGAGTTCACAAGTGCAAATGGACCCGAACAATGCTAGCATTTCACAGGGTTCACAGGCATGGGGCTTAGATTCAGAGTCCCCGCTCTCTAGCTAGGAAGACGGAGAACTGAAGATGCTTGGTGACCCAGAAGTGGCGCAGAGGGTCCCAGTCAGGCTGGGGGTGACGGTTAGATGTGCTCCTCCCAGGCTCTATTTGCCAGCTGTTGACTGAGGGCCATCTTCACAGTCACAGTGGAACAGAGTCCTGGCTGTTTCTAGCACAAGGAATGCGTGTGGGCCCAGGGTCGCCTACAACGGGGGAGGAAATCACATCCGGGCCAGGAGGCAGGAGTAAGGGGACCCAGGGGACCCCAAGGCTGATTCTAAGTAGGACAGTTAGGGGTCGACGGTGATGGGACTTCTAAAATCCACCAGGAAATGACATTATCAACAGCCTTTGGGGCCATCTCTGTTTGCAAAGATTCTCTTTGCCAGTACACCTCACCGGACTTGGAGACCGTCTTCTTGAGCTCTTGAGGCAGGAATTTATAGTTCATTGGTAATTCAAACTGTAATTCTTCAGCTGAGGTGAAAGGCAAGAAGTCAGTGAAATCCAGGTACTGGGGTGCTCTGTGACAAGGCCACCTGTTGACTGAAAACGGAACTACCCTCACTAGTGGGCTCCAGAGTGAGCTGGACAAGAGGGCTGGGCGTTACATTTCACACCCAGCTTTCTGCTATTTTGTAATTAGTCTTACTTCCTCTGTTTCCTAACGCCTTCTATAAAATGTCACTTATAATGCACATTTACAATATGGAAAAACAATAAAATAATATATTAGTGCATTACATAATAACGTCAGTGTAACCGCACATTTGGTCTTGGTTGGGACAATTTGCTTCTTACCTTTGGTTTGGGAGACTTTAGAAACGTTGCTTTTCTTCTCTTCCTTTTTCCCCTTAACCACAGGCTTCTCTGAGTAATTTCTATGAGCAGCTGTTTCTGAGCCTTCAGAGAGAAAGTCCTCTGAATAGTCATCGAAAGAAAAGCTCCTGCAGGAACACTGAGACCCGCTGTGCCCGTCGCTCTTGGGGGAAGCGCTGCGGTTCGCGGGAAAGCCGGCGGCGCGGGGGCTGCCCCTGGGCTCCGCGGCCGGCCCGCTGCCTTCGGAGGCCCCCCCGCGGAAATGCTGGTCCGAACGGGTTTCTGCTGTATCAGCCAAAGACATGGCCAACCTAAGAGCGGAAAGAGTATCTTTAGGTTTATAGCCATGGACATTAAAACGGACCGATGCTTTATGATATTTAACTATAGTGAATCATTAAGAAGGTGAAACAACACCTTATTTTGAAGTACTTCCAGGAAACATTTCAGCTTGGCTTTTATATTTTTCTCCATAAAATAAAAGACCCCCAGGACCAGGCTTTGGTGAAGTTATATTCACAGGAAATATAAGGTAAAGTTCCTATCAGGTGAAAACAAGGACGACAATTTTTGAATTAGTGAGTTACACTCTCCCCCTCGGGGCCCGGCCGTTTGTGGGCACTTTCCTTCTGCCTCGGTCAGACCTGAAGGAGGCGACAGTCTGCCAGGTCTGGGCGCGCGCGTGGTGCGCAGCGCAGACGGGCCGGGCCTGTTTGTGCAGACGCGCTTTCGTTTACCGAGGGTGAAATCACAGACTTTTGAGGTTAAAAATGCAGGCTAGGATGAATCTACGTGAGCCATGATTATAAGGACTTTTATGTTTTAACTCAGGAAATTTGCATTCCTTTTCATGTTCTCCTTAGGCTACTATAACATGAATATGCTTTCCCTGATTACACTCAACATGACAGAAAAGCAATTCAGAAAAACATGCTGATTGGCGAAAGAAAAGCATCCAGGGGTTGAAACCCTTTTGAAGAAAATGCACCAAGTGAAAAATTTCCATGTGTTTAGCAAATAAAAACCCATATTTTCATCTATACAAAAACCAAATTTTTACAAATAATGGACTTGGAAAAATTAAACTGAGTTTGTCTAGTTATTATATATTTAACTCTTCAATGTGAAAAGTAAACATTTTATTTGGGAACTAAACAATAGTACCGTAGGCTTCAAAGAAATGCATGTAAATGATGAAAATGAAAATGAAATTTGATGGTGTCATCCTAATATCTAAGCCGGGGCCCCCAGCGCCACATGGTTGGCAGTGCTGTTAACCGAAGGCCACGCCTGGAAACCTGGTTTAAGACCTACACAGTGTCAGACTTCTTTTATGTAGGGCGCATTTAATTCAAACTAAGTTCAAGTTAGAGTAACCTGAACACAGTAGCTCTTCATTTACAGATCAGGAATGTTTAGAGAGAACAGGAAATCAGACACAAGAGGGGCCCCAAAGGATGGCCGAATAAAACGGACTTGGTTAGACGCCAGATGGCTCGGCATCTCCGCAGCAATCTCTTCACTTCCGCCTCCTGCGACGGCAGCCTGGAACAAAGGAGCCCAGGTCCCAGGGCCTCTAAAAGGAATATTTTTCCCTTTAATATTCTCAATTCTTCTGTTTTTATCAAGAAAGCAAAAGAGAAATCAGCTATCAGTGGGTCCTTGCCAACAGGAATCTAATGCGGCTCTCTCTACTCAAGAGGTTCTCTCCTTCCTAAACCTGTTTCTTCCTCTTTCTGCATCTGCTTGACTTTCTAGCTTTCTCCTCTTCTGGTGAAATACCTCAGGCAATTCACAGTCTCCCTACTGCAGGAATCTTAGTCCAAATCCTTGTATCGGTAAGAGTAGCATTATACTCAATATTCAGCTAGTGCTTTGACTTCCTACAAACTGCGTTCACATCACGCAGTGCCAGCCACAAGAAAGGAACGGGCTCAGACAGAACAGGACTGTCCATGAACATGGTTGTCCAAGTGTTCCAGCTCCCGGGTCAGGGCCGCTTTCATTAAGCACCGTGATGGCAAACTACACGCTGGTGGTAGCATCACACAATCTTAATTAAGAACTGATCTGTCCAGACATTCTGCCATGTAACTGTGGGTGGAAGACAGGCAAAGGCCCTCATTCCTGAAGCTCTGCATCTGGATTAAGAGACCCAAGATGTTGGCGTAAGAGGCCTCGACAGGCCACACGTGCTCTGCTGCCGCCCTCAGAGTCTTGCCTGTCCTCGTCCCTGGGAACCCCCCTCCCCACCTCTTTTTGCTCATGACTTTGGCCCCTAACTTTCTCCCCACACATCTAGACAAATCCAGATGGCCTGAACAATGGTTGCTAATCCGCAGAATAACTTGTTTTTGGACCAGCAGTTCCTGACACAGGCTAAACTTTGGCTGACCTTGCCTCCCCAGCTGCCTCAGAACACTCCTTTGAGAAACCGCCTCGGGCCAGTATTGTGGGATAAAGTCTTCATTCTGGAGTGTTTTTCATGTTACTGTCACAAATGGACCCACGGCTACAATATTGGGAGCGTGACAGAGTAGGTGACGGACAATTTGAGGGCCGACAGACTGGGGTTGGGATCTGGACCTATCACTTAGTTAAGGGAGCTTGGCCACTAGTAAAATTGAGTAAGAAGGCCGAGTGTGCAGGAGGAAATGAGACCTGAACACGCCGCCCCCAGGACTGGGCCCGTGGTGAGCAATCCACACCCGCGGGCTCCCTCCCCACAGGAGTCACTGTGGGACAACAGGCTCCGGGACTGCCAAGGGCAGCGCTGGTGTCTGCTCGGGGCGCACGCCACCAAGGGCCAGTCCGTTTCCCCATCAGCCATCTGACCTCCAACGACTCTCTGAGCAATCTCGTTAGACTGAAAGCTCCCTGAAGGCGGAGACCAGGGCTTGTTCCTCGGGACTCCAGGCCTAGCACGCTGCTGCCACACGACCACTGTTCGTGAATGCCGAGATGACGGTCGCCGAGATGACGGTCGCCACCCCCGGTCCCCCCGACCTCCCGTGCACCCAGCATGCAGGTAGGGGCTTACATACATTAGCTTTCTAAACCATGACAGGGCTGGAAAATGGGTATTGCTCACCCTCTTTCACAGACAAGCAAACGAAGGCTCAGAAAGTTTAAGGAACTTGTCCAAGGTCACAAAGAGTCGGGAGCTGAGTTCTGAATCCAGGTCTGCCTGCTTTTAAAGTCCTTTTCACTGCTCCATGCTGCTTGACCCAAAATGGACACAGTGCGACCCGACTCATTTATCACTGCAACCCGGAAATGCCGGATTCCGTGAAAACATGCGATAAGCCTTGGGGAAGTACATGCTGTTTGGCTTTCATGATTTTGCCTCTGTTCTAGAGTTCAAAAGCTTAGACTACATTGAAAGTAACCGCTTGTTCCTTAATATTTTGGATTAATCGATGTAACTCGCTCTGAACTTGACATGATGGGTGTTACGATCCCCGCAAGTATGAGCTCAGAAATTAGAGTTTGATCACACACTCTTTATTATTTGGCCAAGTTTTTTTACCTGCGCAGGGGCCACCTTTCCCTCGAAAGGAAAAAGGCGCGCTGCTGTTAGATTACATGGATTTTTATAAGCAGAGCAAGCAAGCAGGATACAAGGGCAAGAGGTGGCGGTTAGCTATTGGCTGTTTGGTTTTTCTACATTGTTACTGGGGGTGTCACAATTCTTCCATCATCTTGGGGTATTGTTTGTTCTAGTGTGGGTCAACTTGTTCCCCTTAGTCTGCCCATATCCGTATTGTTCTTGCCCTATGCCTCCTCCTTATTCTTGTCGACTCTGGCCCAGCTGCATGGGGGCTGCACCCTAATATGTCTTTCTTGGTATTAGTTCCTCCCTTATCCTCAGCTCTGACCCTGCTTTTACGGGCTGTTTATCTGAGTCAAGGCTCAGCCGTTGTCCTATCTTATTACTAAGGGGGGCTCTAATTCTTCCCTTCATAAAGTTTGGCCCCTTCAATGGGAACAGTGAGCAGATGAACGTCAGCAGGCTAGGGTGGAGTGCGCGGTGGTCAGTCCTGTTCCTAAATTAGAACACAATACTGAGGCCTGAGGGCCCGGCTGCGCGCACCGGCGTTTTCACGGTTCCCGCTGAATCGCTCGCGCACAAAGGGCTAACTCTGCTTTGACTGTCCTCTGTGCCACACAGTACAGACTATCATCCTGCTCTCTGAGTTGAATAAACATTGATATGACACGGGAACAGAGCAGCTCTCTGGAACATTCTGGAACTGGTTAAATACCAGTTTTCTCATTGACCTGATAAAAATCAATTGATGGCTAGTACCAGACGTATAACTATACTTTTAAGTTGATTACATTGTTTTAGAGTGTCTTTGTTTTAATGTACATCAGCTGTACCTCACCATTGTTATCAGTACAAACATACGCATTTCTGATAACGTAGCGCATTAGTGAAAAATCCAGGTCTTAGGCCAGCTGCCTCATGTTCTTCTTAATGAAGTGATTACTTAAAAGTTTAGGCAAAGAATGTTTACTCAGTGTCTGCTGGGCATTGAGTTTATCAAGAAGGCCAACTTCTACCTTCAAGGATTTGAAAATAAGCAAAGTTAATAATCATGTAATTAATGCTTACAATTAGCACGCCAGTTTTTAATATAAGAAATTTATGGTAGTGTATAGTTGAGATTTTGGCAGCATTTATATTTTGAACCATCCATGTTTACAGTATAACACTGCCTGCTTTTTTGCACTTGAAGCATAATTTCACTCTGTCTCTCTCACTGTAGGGTTTATAGTAGTTTCTTTACTGTTATGACTCAGAAATACACCCACGATTAAAACTGCTATTCTAAATGGAGAAATGCGATCCAGTTTTTCTGGACCACATTCGACAACGTGACAATGTTTTTTTGGAACACACCATGGTGAAGTGATAACTTCCTGTGACAATAATAGACTTGTATATCATGCTCATTTAATTGCAGGATTAGAATAATGTCCAAAGATCAAGAAATACATCTGGGTCATTCGGTTCTGCTTTTGCAACAAGGCAGACAAAAAACCAACACCTGCTAGAATGTTTAAAATGAACGAACGCATACCTGCCGTTCTCCGTCAGCCTTCCCTGGGATGCAGGGAGGTCAGCTGTGTGTTCTGGGCGGAGGGTTCTTCACAACACAGTATTTATGAGGTGTTCCGGGTAGTGTTTTTTGACATGCTCTGGTCTCTTTTTAAGCAAAGAATATATTTCAAAAAGCCTAGAATGAGATTACAGAAAGAAAGTGTTAAGATCTCACAAATAGAGATGGAACTGGAATA